ACATATAACCCTCCAGCCTTTTAAAAAGGGATCATAGACTCTGATAGGGAAGTTATGTGAGAGTTCATTTAAATGTTAAAACTACAAAAAAGTTTTTACATAAAGAATTTATGTAGACTATACTTCATTAAAAAAAATCATATATTCTTATCCTGAATTACATTTTTTTTAACATGGGCATGTAAACTTAATAATGGCTATGCTTCATTACAAAATCTTTTTTTCATAATTAATTTGTAGAAGCATTTAAAAATCACTACATCAAGTGTGATGGGGAGGGGAAGCCATGTTTGGAAAATATCACTCCTTGTTTTTAATATTGGCTTTTAATATATGATTTAGGACTTTAACATTGCTTAAACTGTGTATGTGTTTTAACATGAGAAAAAAGAGACTGCGAAAACTGATTGGTTTCACATATTAATTTTCGCTAAGAATACTGACTCAAACTTTAAACAATTAAGAAACCTTATAAACCCACACGAATCATGTGTACAAAATATAAACATAAGAAATGACAGTCTACAAACATAGAAACTAGATCTACACAAACCAATCTTAAAAAAAACATATAGTGGCAACATGTATAGATATGTCGGTTCGTAAAATGTTTTTAGTCTCCATCTATGAGTCCTTCCAAATTGCCTCCAAATATGCCAATCCTTTCCCTAGCCCTAATTCACAAGTAGAATTACATTCTCAGGTGCAGCAATAGCTATCAGTGAATTTTCACCTTGTCAAGAAGTTCAAACACAGAGAAAAGGAAGATTTTGCTTAATAAATGATGCTAATTTACCTTCACAATTTTAAAATTAAACTTTTAAACGGGGACTTAACCAAAACATAAACATGTCCTATAACCCTCAAGTCTTGGTAAAAAAAAAAAAAAAAAATGAAGAAACTGTTACAACTTTTTAGGTGTCAAAAATTCTATTTTAAATATTTTAGTCTAAATTGTAAATTTCAATTTCTGACATTAACCAACTAACGGCATCTCAACAGTACTTTACTTATAGATCTTCTTTATCCCTAAATATATTTCAGGGATAGGACACAGAAAAAACAAAGAAAAATACCTACGAAGTAATACTAAGTTTGAGTCAATCCGTCACTATTATCAGCATTTAGCACATTACTTTTTCTAAGCTTACTCATTATACACTTTTAGAATCAAATAATTATTCAAAAGATTGCAAGTATTCTAAAGAATGCTAAAGAGCTTCCAAACTAGCATGAAGATACTAGTTTTATACAAAAAGGCAATGAAAAGAGGTTAAAATTAACTGCGGGAAATTCTTCCTTGAGACAGAAGTTGAAGAGACTTCTGAATATATCAATATTAATTTAATTTGAAACATCTGATAGCAATTTTGTGTGGTAATTTCAAAGAACAAGATAAAAGTCATTCAGAAGTCACTAAAAAAAAAAAAACTACAGATATAAGGAATTAGAAACCACTTTAAGGAGCTAAAAAAAGGAATAGGATATCCAACATGTATACATCCCATCTTCGAATTTAAAATCACAGTATCAGTTGTTCAAAGCAGCTCAAAGTTCAAGTTTGTGCTATGAAATTGTGCAAACAGATTCTGCTGAGAGTTGGAGAAAACCAATGCTTTCTATACTATTTAGCTTCCTATGTTACCTCAATCTACAGATAACAGGAAATAGTTTGATAAACTAAGGTTAACCTAAATTACTTATAAATCTCATCAGGAAAGAGTTTTAATTTTTAAGTTTTCAATTTTCATTGAAAAACAAAACACAAATTTCAAAGTCACCATGGCATATTCTCTTTTTATGTAACTTAGGAAAGTCTTAATGAAATGTTCAAGTATTATTGGTTTTAGATATTCCAATTAAATGCATTACTCTTTCATTAGTGTGAATGAACAGAAGCATGGTAAAACAAATACTAGTTATTTTAAAAACATACAATGCTCTCAGATTGGGGAGGGGAGCAGAAATTCAACACCCAGTGTACCGTAAAGGAAATGAAACCTAAATCTCACTTCTGATACCAACTGCAATATAGGTTATACTATTCAAAGTCCCCCACAAATTACTGGAAAAATATGAGGTAATTTCACAAAAATCACAAATTGAGTGGAATAATTATAACTGATATATAAATAAGGATTTGCTTTAAAAAGGCTTAGAAGGGTGATATTTTAAATCAAGTTTTTTAAATACAAAAGTGTCTTGTGTTGCTTAGTCGCCCAGATGCTCCTTATTCTACAGTTACAGATTTGGCAAGATTCCGGGGGAAATCAACCTGCAAAAAATGAAAGCAAGATTTGAGATATTATACAGGTTGGGGAACAAAGGAGACTTACTATTAGCAAATTACTTTCATTTATAAAGACAGAAAATAACATGTTCATCAGCTATCTTTATTATTGGCTCAAGGAATTACACTAGCAAACATAGATAAAATATCTTGAAAAACCCTGAAATCAGTTATGAAAAAGAATTCTAAGAGAGTCAGTTCAACACACAAAGAGCTAAATCTTGTGGTCCTCTATAGAGGTGGTAGCCCTGTTAGGAAACACTGTTAGAAATGTGTTTCCAAAGCAGGATGCTTTGGTTGACTTGGACACTAGGAATGCTAAAAATTCTTCACTGTGTGTGACACAGACCCAAAAACAATAATTGTCAGGGAAAGAGCACAGAGCTACATTAAGAAAACCGGTGTATTCCTCAAAGAGAATCAGAATCATGGAGGTAATCTCCAAGATTCCTTCAAGTTCTATGGGTAAGAAAATATTACCATATAGCCTACAAAATCAGCCACATATCCAGTGTATTACTCACATGCAATTTCTAAAAATTTAAAAAGAAAATTTTTAAATGTACTGGGGTTAAAAAGCTAGCCAGGGATCTATGCAGAGATGCAATACTTACATCATATCCTCTCAGCACAGCAAGATGGAAAGCCAGTAGCTGTAAGGGAATCACACTGAGAATGCCCTGCAAGCAGTCCACTGAATGGGGCACTTTGATTGTTCTTTTGGTGTTCTTAATGGTCTCAGTATCTTCCTTATCACAAATCACCACTGGGCGGCCCTGAGGGAAAAAAATCACACACACAGATGGTAAGCAAAGGCAGGGTTGTGGCACATGAATGTGTAAATTTTACACTGAAATTCACATGTGATCTCACTAACATAGACTTATTTAAATTTACAATCCTGTGTGGTAGGTCAGACTGATCTCAAACCTAATGAAATGGAAGTTTTGGGGGAATACAGTAATTTAATTGTACTCACACAACTAAGAAATATCAGGTTTAGGACTTAAATCCAGACCTGCCTGTTTGAAGCTGAAGTTTGTACCTACAAAGTAATACCTTTAGGGATCTAATTTATATATAAAGCCAAACTATTTGAGGAAAATGAAGTTAAGCAAAACACCTACAAGTTAATATAAAAATCCATATGTAAGATTTCAACTGAAATATACATTTAAGAATATTTAAAAAAAGAGTAGCATACACTACTTGAAGAGGTGAGGACTTGGCTCAGCTTTGATCTCGGTTCTGCCTACTATGAGACTATGGATTGGGTCTTGCAAACAAAACACTACGTATCTCAAATTTCTCACATGTAAACCTAAACATTCATAAACTACCTGCTTGGCTCTGGTTTATCACTTTAAATGTCATAAAATTCAAATATGGCTTACTGATCCCACTATTAGAACTCCAAAGCAACCCAGGACAAGTCCATCCTTACCTGCCGAGCAATCACCTGCTGAAAAGCATTCTGACACTTGGCATAAGTGTGATCTCTCATGATGATCATGATAACTGGCATCAACTTATCCACTAAAGCCAGGGGGCCATGCTTTAATTCACCAGCAAGAATGCCTTCAGAGTGCATGTAAGTGATTTCTTTGATTTTCTAATAAGAAGAGAACCAGGTTAGTCTTCAGTGCATTTCTTTTAATCCATTTTTAAGTAAACTTTTCAAAGATTGATTTATTTATGCATACAAGAACTTTGGTACAGGTCAGAGGTGCAGAGGACGGGGAGAAGAAGGAAGGGGGGTGTGAGAGGATTCATCAGACAGAGTGGGGAGCAGAATAGGCAGATGTACTGAAATACACTGCTGAGGGGAGCAGCGGGTCAGACAGGAGACTGCCACGCCATGTGGGTCACATCCCTGTCTGGAGACTGAACTCGTGCTGCAGTGGTTGCAGATAGCTTCAGAATGTTACATTTTAACCCCTGTGCCATCCAGGTGGTTCCCATTTTTAAGTAAGTATTACACAAAACATCAGATGTCTGAAGTTACTATCTATCTGTTCACCCAAAAGTATAAAAAGTTAACAGATCACTATTTCTATAGTCTAACAGAACCTGAAAGTTTTAAAACCCCATAAGAACTTTTTGAAGATTTTTGATCATAAATGTATTCATGTTATCTTTATAACTATTATTCTGACTTGTTTCATATTTGACCTCAATTAAATTTCACACCTAGAAAACTTAATTTTTATTTTATTCTTATTAGAACAATATTTTAACTCAAGTTGTTAACCCCAAGTTATTATGCCAAAATGTATGCTTTTTTATTTTTACTTTTGAATTAAGTTCTCTATTGTACTTTCTCAAAGAAAACAAGTCAAAATGCATAAACAGTGTGGCACTTAAAAATTTCTAAGTCATAGTTTGAAGTTATAAGTGAGGAAACTTACCAAAGCTCCTTCAAGACAAGTAGCATAATGATAGCCACGTCCCATTATCAAGACTGATTTCTGATGATAAAGTTCCGTTGCCAATTTCTGAATTTCATCATCCATGCTCAGTACTTCCTTAATCAAATCTGTTAAGTAGTATTAAAAACTTGGTCAATTGTATGCTAACAGATGGAAAGTGATGATCATGATGTAGTATATACAGATGTCAAATTTTTAATACTGCACACCTAGTATTTGTTATGTTATAAATCAACATTAACTCAATAAAAACTTTAAAAAATATAAATTTAACTTTAAAAAATAATTAGCAAAATCTCTGAAAGAGAAGAATAAACTGAACAGATACAATAACAATACTACTACTACTACATATAAGATTAGAAAAATCTTAGTGAACAGCTACAAACCATAGCTTCCAGGATAAGAAAAGAATTTTACCCATTACCCATTCCCTTAGACAACTAAAGTATAGTACGTGAATATTTTCATACCAGGCAACCGCTTCAATCCAAGCATGATCTCTTTACGTCTCTCTTGCATAGAGATTCTATCATCACACATCATAAGAGCAAACATCACAAGGGACACAAACTGGCTGGTATAAGCCTGAAATACCACACAAAAGCAAGAGGATCAGCTGTAGCTGCATTTTAAAAGCTCAGGATTTTTAATTTAAGATAGAAATTCCCACTTTTTATTTTATAAGTATACACTGTTCATCTTTTAAGACAGTGTCAGTAACATAAATATTGAAACAATATTTGGGAAATCTCTCCCTGTTCTTCATTTTTGAATCCTGAAAAAATGACTTCACTTTAAATGATTTACAGATACAAGAATACCCTATAATGCCTTGAGTGCTTATGAAATCCCTAATATTCTTCCCTAGGAAGAGAAACATGACAAAGGAAGGGAGTAGAGAGTATATGTGCTTGTGCATAACTAAACTGAATTTAATGTACATCAAGAGCAAGCCCTCACAGGACTCTCCTTGAGTTTTTATTGGATTCTTTTTTATTTTGCTCTTTGAGTTTTCACCTTTGCTTACTGCATGTTCCTCATTTCCAGCTTCTTTTAGTTTGGCTAGAAATAAAAACTGAACTGTAAAAAAAAATTAAAAATAATTATCTTTTAAAAATATATATTTATTTATTTATCAAGCAAGAAGTTGGGTACAGGCCAGAGGTGCAGGGGTGGTGAGAGGCTTCACCAGAGACAAAGTGGGGAGAACAGGCAGATGTACTCAGCAGTGTATTGAAGTACACTGCTGAGGGCAGCAGCAGGCAGGAGGAGAGGTCTGCCACACCATATGGGTCACCAGAAATCAAACTGTAGTGGCTGGAGATAGCTTCACAGTGATGCACTTTAACCTGTTGCATCACCAGGGAGGGGCCAAGAATAATCTTACTAAATAAATAATTACATGAAAATTTTGTTATTAACACTTGGTAAAACTGCATTCTACTCTGCACTATTTTTTTATTTAATTAATTTTTTTTTACAATGTTTGCTTAACACTAGCCGCAGCTGCTTCAGTCAAGTTCAATCCCTGGCCCCAGAGGTGATCCACATTGCCCAGCAGACCTCTCCTGACCTGCCCACTGCTCCCCTCAGCAGTGTACTTCGATCTGCCTGTTCTGCTCCCCACTCTGTCTCTGGTGAATCCTCTCAACTGCTTCTGCACCCCTAGCTTGTATCCCATTTCTGTATGCATAAATAAATGAAAAAGAATTTTAAAAAAAAGTTTACTTAACAAAACCAAACAACAATAAAAAGGCAACTTTTTTTCTTTTGTTAAGAAAAGTAATTATTAGCAGGTATAATTTTGTAACTTTTTTTTTTTAAGATTTATTTATTTAATGCATACAGAACTGGGGTATAAGCCAGAGGTGCAGGGGCGGTGAGAGGCTTCACCAGAGACAGAGTGGGGAGCAGAACAGGCTGACTGACGAAGTACACTGTTGAGGGGAACAGCGGGCGGGTCAAAAGAGATCTGCTGCACCATATGGGTCACCTCTGGAGTGGGGACGGAACCCATGCTGAAGTGACTTTAGCTCCTTAGTGCTGTGCTATAACCCGCTGTGCCACCAGAAAGAGCCCTGTAACTTTTTATTCCTAATTAACATTACAAGCACTTTCCTAAGGCAGGCCTGTTTCTCTCGTCTACTAATGAGCAAAAATCTTGAGTTTTTTTCATTTCTTTATATCTCAGATGCCCCACCTGTTAAAGGTATATGATACTTAGAAGATTTTCATGAGAATTAAATGATATTAATTATGTTACATAATGTCTGTCATATAGGCTCAAGACAAACTGACATTTATGTTCCTACATTATAGAATGGTAACTTGCGAAACACTGTGATACTGTCAAGCCATTATGTGAGTGGCTGTTTTGCCACATTCTGTACAATATTACAAATTGTCTTTGCAACACAATTTTACCATTTTAACTGCAGGATAATGAATTTTTACTAATACTTTACCATACATATATTGAACCTGAAAAACTAATAAGTTTTTTTTACATTTGTTAGTCATTTGTTTTCTCTTTTGAAAATTAACTTTATTGTTCTTTACTTTTTTGACTTGGGTTTTGTTTTCTTTTTCTTGTTTTTTAGTTGGTTTCAAGGTCTTTATTGTTTAGTTTCAAATACTTTTTCCCAGTTTGGATTGATCTTTTATAATTGTACTTATTAAAAGTTTCATTTTTTAATCTTTATGTAGTACCTTTAAGCTTGTACAGTCCATATTAACATTTGTAGACTCATTTTCTTAAATCTTTTTCATTGTTCCATTTGTTTTATATTTTTGAAATTATCTCATTTATTTTATATTTTTGAAATTTCTTTCTTTGACCCTCTTGAAATTAATTTCTTTTTATATTTAAAGAGTAAGTTTATTAGAAAGAGACAGGGGAGGAAAAGACACTTGCAGACACAAGTGGGCAAGAAGAGCTACCCTGGAAGGGACAGGTTTGCAGAGAGAGAACTGCATAGTTTCAGGCAGGTAGCCTTGGCACTGAGGGAGGTCAGTGCAAATAAGTCCCAGCACAGTATAGAACATGGGCCGGCAGGGGACTGCTGCCCTGCAGAGGGAGAGATGGATGGAAAGAAGCACCTGCATAGTCACAGGTGGACAGAGGAGTTGCTGCCCCCTGCCCTGGAATTAATTTTTTTTTTAATTTATTTACTTATGCATACAGCGCTGGAATATAGGCCAGTGGTCCAGGGGAGGTAAGAGGCTTCACCAGAGACAGAGTGGGAAGCAGAACAGGCCGACTGACAAAGTACACTGCTGAGGGGAGTAGTGGGTGAGTCAGGAGAGGTCTGCTGCGCCATGTGGGTCACCTCTGGGACAGGGATCAAACTCCTGCTGAAGTGGCTTTAGCTTCTCAGTGCTGTGCTTTAACCCACTGTGCCACCAGGAAGGGCCCAATTTTAAAGCAAGGTACTGATTTCTGTTCTATTTTCAGAGATAGCCAATTGTTTCCCTCCATTTTATCCTACCCTTTGACATTTCCTGTAGTCTAAGTACTACCATATACTAGCAAGTTAAGTTGCAGAATCAGTAGATTCTGTCCCACAGATATGTTATTTCTTTATAAAACAATCTTCCATCAATTTGTGCTAGGAATTTAAAAATTCATAAATTTATAAAGTTTTAATTTCATCAGCAAATCTTTATGAAGCATCTCACACATTTCTTGGCAAAGCTATTTTGACAGCTATTGAAAATAGAATTTTATGGCGAGTTAAAAGTAGAGCACATGTCTTTTTACAAATTTTGTGTATGTGATTTCTGATTCATTTCAAATTTTTAATAGCTATTATTAAACTCTACTTAAGAATGGATAGTCACTAGTTTCAACTGCAAATAAGAATAATTTTTTCTCCTCCTTTTCTATTGTTTTATTTTTTTCTTATTAAACTGTGTGGATTTGGCCTGTATGGGGATATGTATATCCTAAACTGATGTCCCTCTATGACTGAAATCTACCATTTTCTACTTTACTTTTCAATAAACTGATTAAATGCAAAATATACTATTAGGGCAAAGGAATAGATCCAATAGCTTGACCCCTGGGATAATTAAACTGATTCTAATTAGTTTAGGATTGCAGTCTGGGGAACACAGACCCAAGAAGCACTTGAGTTTCTGAGTGACTCTGGGTGGGGAGTGTTTATACACACAAACTAATCACATAAAAGGTATTCCAAGTTTCTCCAACCTATACCTAAAAATGTTATCCTACAAACTAACATTTCTTTCTTTGAATTTAAAACATCTTAACACTGGTTTTTAAGTATACTACTAACTTTAACTTTAATGCTTGTATTCTACAATGACATTCCCACTACAGCTTAATTTCCAATTTCATGGTTTTGTTTTGTTTTGTTTTTATCAATAATGCCAGGAAACCAATTATGAGAAAAATATGCTACACCTCTTACATGTAAAATCTGGCTTGCAAGAATTAACCAGGAAATTGTTGATTCTGAACTTTAAATCTGGTTTTTCTTTATATTCAGCCAAAAATAAAGTCACTTTGGTTTATTTTTTTTAAATCAACAATAGTCAGTACTGAGGTAAAATTCTATATACCTGCAATAACATACAAAATTGCTGAATCTGCACATCAATTCCTGCAGGAATATTAAATTTTCTATGGTGTGGCATTATGGGAAAGTTATATCCCTCTAACCCTGACTGACAGCTTTTGTGGCAAAGATGGGAATTCATAATCAAGGTAATAGAATCCTTCTGCTAGTTCCATAAGAGCCCAAGAATCATGATTAACGATGAGCTTCTTTAATCACCCTCACTAACACAGAAACTTGTATTTGCCATTCAGAACCAGAAAGTAACCAGAAAGAAAAGACAGGGTTCCCACGATTCCATTTATAAAAATTCCAAGAAAATGACATAAGATAGCAAGAGAAAGCAATTGTAGTTGACTGAAGCTGGGGAGTAGAACTGGGAAGGGAGTGTAAAGAGGATACAAAGTACTTTTCTCAGATGATGAGGTCTCCTCAAACTGGATTATGAGTGTGAACTACTTCACCTCTTTTGTGTGTATAAACACTCCCCACCCAGAGTCACTCAGAAACTCAAGTGCTTCTTGGTCTGTGTTCCCCAGACTGCAATCCTAAAAAGCAGCCCTTCTCCCCCCCCCAATAAATTCATGTATTTTGCCTCAAAAAATAAAGATAACTATATCTAGACAGTAGATAGTTAGTTACACAGCCAAACTCACTAAAACTGTACACTTAAAGTTGGTGAACGTATAAAAAGCATATCTCAATAAAACGGTAGAAACAAAGAAAGGTTAATGGTAGAATATAAGTGATGGGTATACGCTGTTAATGTAAAATTCTTTTAATTCTTCTCTGTGCCTGAAAATTAATGTAAAACAATATTGAGGAAAATTAAAGCTTTAATGAACAACAAGTCTTGAAATTATAATGATTAGTAAACTCTATGAGTTCTGTAAGTGTTAACAAATTAAACATGAAATATGGATTAGTCTACTTTACCAACACTATGATTAAATAAGAACTAAGAGAAGAATTTACCTTTGTGCTGGCCACACCAATCTCAGGCCCAGCATTAATGTGAACTCCACAGTCTGTTTCCCGTGATATGGAGCTACCAACTGTGTTGGTGATCCCCACAGTTAGCGCTCCTCTTTCTTTACAGTACCGAAGACCCATCAGGGTATCTGCTGTCTCCCCTATGTAAAACACAAAAGTAACATACTGAGCAAGTAACACACAGCATTTTCAGAACTCATGATTCTTAGGGCGTAAACAAAAAATTTACTATACTTTCAACAGCATAATTTAAGTAAACTATAAAACATGACCTTAAAATAATAGATTTTGTAAGCTTTTGTTAAGATCCTACTTTTTAAGATATCCTTTCCTTCCTTGTTTGAAAGTTCAGTTTTTTTTACATAAAACATGTTAATTTTGCTGATTTATAAAGAATTATGTAACAATAAAACTGATCTGTATATCATCTGTAACACCAGTTTATATTTAGATATCAGTTTTTGTCAGGATTTTGTATTAGAAAGAATTACTATCCTTTCCTCAAGTACTTCAATTAGCTTACCTGACTGACTGATGAAAAAACAAACATCATCTCGAAAGACTGGTGTGTTTCTATCCAGGAAATCACTGGCTAGCTCCACCATAACAGGCAACTCAGTCAGCTCTTCAAGAACTTGACGTGTCTGCATAGGAAAGATGTCTTGGTCATACAAGTTTACTTCAAATACTCATTTTCATGCACTTCTTTGGATTCAATATATAATTTTCCCTTCCTGACTATAAAAATGATATTACACACATTGTTAGAAAAAAACAAACAGATTAAAGCATAAAAATAATCCTATTATCTACATATACACAATGGAATATTACTCAGCGATCAAAAAAGATAAAAACATGCCTTTTACAGCAACAAAAATGCCAGAGAGTGCACAGGACCATGGTAATGGCACATGGGTGAATTGGTGATGGGAAGTCCACGGGGATTACAACTGAGATGGGAAAAGGCACAAAATGATGTAAAAATAAACTACTAAAAAAAAATCTCAAAAAAAAATTCCCGCCATCTGAAAGAAGCATTTAACATTTTAGTTAACACTTTAGTACAATTCTCTTTATAAACCAATGTATATTTTCTTTTAGGCAAATAGTACACCTACACATAGAAATGTTTTTGAAATGCTGAAAAGGTACTGTTTTGAGTTAGCTTGCAACCTCTCCAACCTTTATAATACCTAATCTTTAAATGATAATTCATGAAATTCTGAGTCGCTGGGATATTTCAAATAAGATAGTAGTAGATGTACAAATACCCAGTGAAAAGTCTTAACACTTCACAAATGCAACATATTCATAAGTAGTATCATTTCCAAAATAGTCAATGTATTGAATACTTCAGGAAGTTTAAGAAAACTTACTGTGTTGAAGCTAATAAAATGTATGGATGATAGAGCAGGAGGTTGTATATGTTTGTCTTTCAGGCAGCAAAATGGATCATTGCAAGCTTAGCTTAATGGAGATGTATAAATTTAACTATTTAAAGAGCTCTGGAGACCACCTGCCTCTTTAGGCAAATGGTCTTGCCATCTCTGTATTCCTCCTATAGGAATGAAAGATTATAAAGATTGCCTTACTTAGTCTCTAACTTTTTGTCTCATGATTTCAGTTTGGCACATGTTAAAAGTGTTATAACATTATATACAAAAGTTTTCCTACTTTTTTTAATTCTTTTTTTAATGTAATAGTTTTTTTTTTCATCATTTTGTGCCTTTTTCCATCTCAGTTGTAATCCCAATAGTTTTCCCATCATCATATCACCCGTGTGCTATCACTATAGTCCAGTGTACTTCCCCTCCCCATTTTTTATCCCATTCCCCACTCCACCCCTATAAAATGTCTCTGGTATATAGTTGTTCATTATTATTATTTTTTCCCTCCTGGTCCTTTATGCCCCTGCTATGAGTGAAACTATCTGGTATTTTTCTTTTTCTTTCTGGCTTATTTCACTAAGCATTTAATTCTTTTTTTAAAAATTTATGTATGCAGACAAGAACTGGAGTATATACCTGAGGTACGAGGAGTAAGAAGACTCACCAGAGACAAAGTGGGGAGCAGAACAGGAAAATCTACTGAAATAACTGCTGAGGAGAGCAGCAGGAGACCATATGAATTAGTTACCTGTATAGGGATTGAACCATGCAACAGTGGCTGGCAATAGCTTGACAGCACTGAGAGTTTAATCCATACACCACCAGGAAGGTCCAGTCTTGCTACTTTTAAATAATATTTTCCATTGATGTATTTCATTTACTAAATACGCATAACTGAGCTACTGACACTAAAATGGTATATGTGGTTTAGCAAACAAATGAAAAATCAACATCCTTTTTGAGTTTACAATATGTTACCTGGATTTACATCCTTCACAATAAAAAGAGATACAAATTTATTGAAAAATATACCCCCCAAAAAAGTAATCTCAAAAATATCTGTGATAATGTAAAGAACTTCTTTAAAAAATATAGTGCTACACGGGTGATTTGGTGATGGGAAGCCCATGGGGATTACAACTGAGATGGAAAAAGACACAAAATGATGTAAAAATAAACTATTACATTATTTTTATATAAAAGAGTGCTACAGTTCCATCACAAGAGACTTAATATTATATATTCCACTGTATAAGTTCAACTAACATTTCGAAAAGCAAGTTCACATAGAATGATTGATTTTAGCTAGTTAATAATGTTCAGGATACACAGTATGTACTAAAATTTTTTAAAAAGCCATTATTCAAATGTGTCATGCATGTCAGATTGCACCAAAAAAATCAAAAACTTACATAAAGCAAAATTAATGACACTATGTTATGATAAACTGTAAGAGGATCTAATGTTTGTTAATTATGGTAGACTCAGCACTTAACAAAAAAAAAATGACAAAAATAAAAACTTTGTATTTTCTCCAATATCAAAATTACAGGATTTTATCACAATATATGAATTACTGACCCAAAATTCAGGCTTAGCATTAGATGAAGCACTTAGTCAAATTTTAAGTGTCTAAATAGAGGGCTCATTCAGTAGTAGATTTAAGTCACCACCCAATTAGCCGACTCCTTAATTTACATTAATGTCTTTAATTCATTCTTTTTTCCTATGCTCAAAGCAATCTCTAAACACTCTTCCCTTCAATACTTCATAGACTTTTCTGTATAAGACATGTTTCAGGGTGGTTTGAGGGCAGGTACACCTTTGAAAAGAGCAAAACCTGCAGAATTGCAAATATTCAGCGAAACCATCTAGTTTCACTCTAAATGACTGGCTCCCACAGTAAAGATAATGATTATATCACATCAAATAAAAAATTACTGTCTTGATCACTTCTTGGCCTTTTGGCTAAGATCAAGTATAAAAAATTACTGTCATGAACCTTGGAAATCAATCATCAAAGTAGAAATTGAGTGTGTAAAGGTCTTCTGTACTTACTGAATATGAAAATCAGCAACACATAAACTGCCTCTTTATATAGGAACCACATGTAAATCAGATTTATTGGACTAAAAGACCATTATTTTCTATGCCATGGCAGGACAACAAACCCTTTAGTAACAGAATTTCAACTTCTAAAATGACAATTTAAAGAACCATGTATATCAAAAGGTAGACTTCTCTTTGTGTATCAAATAAAATCCTACTGAGGGTCACACCAGTCATGTGTGTGGAGCAATTAACAATGATAAGCAAGACCCAATGATTGTTCTTATAGCAGGAAGACCTGCCCAAGACAACTAGACAAGGCCAATACAAATCTTTCCCATTCTCTGCCTCTCATGAAATGACTTGCAGGTAGTCAGCTTGGATATCTAAGGATTTTCCTGTGGCAGATCTTCCACTGATAAATACAAGCAGTATTCCTCGCCCCAACATTCTTCACTTTTGTCATTACAATGTGAAGAAGACAATGCAGTGTTTTAACAAAGGAGAATTTTACATGGTGTGTTACCGGAAGATGTAAATGTTTGGAAAGGTATTATTTGTCTGCTGATGTCTTTTAATATCCAATGTAACACAAAAATTCTTTTAAAGTCACTTACTGCTACACCAGCATGATAACTTGTTCCACAAGCAATAAGAATCAAACGCCGACACCTCTGAATCTCTTTAATGTGATCCTTCAAGCCACCCAAATTCACTAAAATGAAAGTATGTATATATAATTAGTTAGGAAAGACTGTATGAATATGCAACCACTTTTCATGAGTATCTACTACCTGGAAAATAACACTGCCAATTTAAAGAATTCATATTTCTCTTAGAAAGGATAGTTCTCCATGGTTTTTAAAAGTAAATTAAATAGGGTATAATTTAATTAGCCCTCAAACTCGTAACTAGCCTTATTCATCTTCCTAATCTGCACACACAATTCTAGTACTTGCCATATTCTTCTTTGGTTATTTTTTTTTTTTAAAGATTTATTTGTGCATTCAGAACTGGGGTACAGGCCAGAGGCTCAGGGGCAGCGAGAGGCCCCACCATAGACTGAGTGGGGAGCAGAACAGGCAGATGGACGAAGTACACTGCTGAGGGGAGCAGCGGGCGGGCCAGGAGAGGTCTGCCACGCCATGTGGTCACCTCCGGGGCAGGAGGGAATCGAACTCATGCGGAAGTGGTCTCAGCTTCTCAGTTCAGTGCTTTATCCCGCTGCGCCACCAGGGAGGGCCATTCTTTGGTTATTTTTACGTTCTTCTTTGGGTTAAATTATCTTAGAAGCAAAACTACATATAGTAACATAAACAATAAATCAATAGAAGTTAAAAGGGCACAGCATTTTTGGAATGATAAACTATGCACCAACATGACTGCTGGAGAAGTAACAATTATAATCATGTTATGGAAGTTAGTCAAAACTCACTGAATCTTACATTCATAATGGTAAATTTTATTTTAATTATATATCACAAAGCCTCCTAGGAAAACTATTGTGTTTTTCCATACAGTCCCCAAAACAGTGATCAGAACACAATACAAACCCACCTGTCCCTCCATCTTTCCCATCTTGATAAATGCCATTACCATTCACTTAACACCAGTCATCCTTGACTGCTACTAACCCTCTTCCACATCTACTCAATGAGCAAATGCTAGAAGCTCCATCTACAAAACATACCTCTAATACTATCACTCTAGCCCAACATCTCTCCTAACTATTCTCTCTTGATTCTATACCTCCTAGAGTATATCCTAGACAGAGTCAGGATAATCTTTTTTTCAGTGATTCTTTTTAAAAAAGTATATGATATCCAGGAACAAGGATGCTCACTCTTGCCATTGTTCTTCAACATAATACTGGGGTCCTAGCCAGAGCAGTAAGACAGGAAAAGACATACAAAGAATCCAAATAGGGAAAGCAGAAATAAAACTATCACTGTTTGCAGATGATATGATAATATGCATAGAAAACCCTAAAATTTCCATAGAAAAATTAATCAAAACAATAAACCAGCTCAGTAAAGTAGCAAGATACAAAAAATCAACACACAAAAGTCAGTAGTCTTCCTATATACAAACCAATCAGAAGAAGAAATTAAGAAAATCATGAGAAGAAACTAAGAAAATCATCCCTTTCATAATTGAGAAAAAAAAATCAAATACTTGGGAATAAACCCAACAAAAAGAGGTAAAAGACCTATAAACATTGTTTAACAAAATAGAAGACGACACAAAGAAATGGAAGGACATTCCCTGCTCAAATATTGGAAGAACAAATATTATCAAAATAGCCAACCTACCGAAAGCAACTTCCATATTCAATACTAGTCCAATAAAAATCTTAATGGTATTTGTCAACGAAATAGAACAAATATTGATTAAAGAGCCAGAAAAACCTCGAATAGCCAAAGATCTCCTGCCTAAAACAAAGGAGAATGGAGGAATCACACACTATACTTAAAGCCATAATAATTAAAACATGGTATTGGAACAAAAACAGACAAACTGATAAATGGAACTGAATAGAAAGCCTAGAAATAAAACCACACATATATGAACAAGTAATGCTCCTTTGACAAAGGAATAAAGAATATGCAATGAAACAAAGACAAGTTGTTCAATAAGTAGTACCAGGAAAACTAGACCACCACATGCAAAAAAATGAAACTAGACCACTACACTTCACACCATGAACAAAACCAGCTCAAAGTAGATAAAAGAACTGAATACAGGACCAGAAACCATAAAAAATAGAGAGAAAAAATAGGTAAAACACTGTAACATACATATCAGTAACTTTAAAAACTCATCTCCCAAAACAAAAAAAAAAGTGAAGGAAAAGATAAACATCTGGGAGTACATCAAACTAAAAAAAAAAGCTTCTGTTCAATAAAAGAGACATTAACTAAAACAAAGAGACACCCTACTGATTGGGAGAAGATTTTTTGCATTCCACACAACTGACAAGGAATTAATCACAAAACTATACAAACTATACGAACTCACACAACTCAACAAAAAAAAGTAGACAATCCAATCAAAAATTGGACAGAAGAACTTAAAAGATACTTCTCCAAAGAGGAATGCAAGTGGCCAACAGGTATATAAGAAAATATTCAACATCCCTCGTAATCAGGGAAATGCAAATCAAAACCACAAATGAGATACCACCTTACACCAGTAAGAATGGCACATATTAAAAACTAGCAACAATAAATACTGACTGGCAAGAATGCTGTGAAAAAGGAACTCTCCAACACTGCTGGTAGGAATGCATACTGGTCCAACCACTATAGAAAGCTGTGTGAAGGTTCATCAGCCTACTAAAAATGGAACTACCATGTGACCTTGCAATTCTACCCTGAGAGATCTACCCAAAGGACACAAAAACCTTAACTCAAAAGGATACCTGCACCCCTATGTTTATTATAGCACTATTTATAATAGGTAAGATTTGGAAACAACCCAAATGACCAAAAATAGATGACTGGATCAAAAAGATAGGTACATACACACAATGGAATACTGTTCAGCAATCAAAACAGATAAATTAATGCCATTCACAGCAACATGGACAGAGCTAGAAGAGATTAGGCTCAGTGGAGTAAGTCAAAGGAAAAAGAAAAATATCAGTCCCACTTATAGAAGGAACACAAGGAAATCAAAAAAAGGATCAGAAAAAAAAAATAACAATTAAAATAAACAGAACAAACTAAACTAAATAGATAAGTATAAATCATAGACATTCTGTAGGAGAGGAATAAAGGCAGAGTTTGGATTTAATATAGGGTTAAGACAGGACGAGAAGAGCATAAGAGACCTTGGTGATGGTGCATGGGTGAAGTGGTGGTGGAAATTCTGTGAGGACTACACCTGAGAAAATAAAAAGCAAGCACTGTTTAAAAAAACAACAATGATCAATGCTGTAAAATTAAATAAAAAATAAATACCTGATCTCAAAACCCTCCAATGAATCTGTCCCTTCCCTTCTCCTCCCCTCCCCTTTTCTCTTCTCTTCTCTTCCTTTCTTTTCTTTACATAATCTACTGAGTACTTCTAAAGGTGTCTTACCTATGGATCCTTCTATACAAAGTTAGTTTTCTACCTATGAGAAATTTTCACTCAACCTTTACTCAATTATTTAACTAATATTTCTTGAGCATGCACAGCACATCCATCAGAGCTTTCAAGACACTTAAGTCTGACTGAGGAGAAACATGCATGCCTATGGGCAACATCCCTCTATGTGACCCCCCCAAAGGTGTGCCTGCTCTACACTAGCTCTTAATCTTCCCAGCCTTTTCTTTGACCATAACTGGCTATAATATGGACTCAGGTAATAAGTTTTGGTTTTTCTTTTCTTTTCAAGTTGGATGTTCTACCCTTTCAATTTCAAAACCAAGAGAGCACATTACATTTCTCTATTTTAAAAATTAATGAAGTAGAAAATAAAACAACAAAAAAGCTTTACTGTCTTCCCAACTAAGTCAAAAGACTATAAACTCCTAAATTATAGCATTTGAGTTCACATATGACCTGTTTTCTCTTGAATCTGGCTTGATCTAGCACTTACCCTCTTACTCAGGTTGCTCCAGTAAGACTTGCTCTCTTGCTCTTCCTGCACTAGATCAATCCTGTTTCTGTTTGTGTCCCTCTGCCTACAGTTTTTTTCCACAGACCTAGGCACATCTAGCAAATGTTTAGCAGGAAATATAATGATAGAAAGGTTTTTCAGATCATATAAATGCAAGTAACTTTGGAAATGACTCAAGTATTAAAAAAAAAAAAAAAAAGATGCCAGGAATGTCAAGAATGACAGGAAGGTAAGATGATGAGACCACCTACTCAAAACTGTTTCCATCAGTCCCAGCAAATTCCCTGGTAGCTGAGTGTAGGAATGTTTGGGGTAATTCGAAAAAGAGCTGCAAGAGGCCTGAACTGATGACAGTTTTGAGAGAAGCCTAATTCTGACAAAATGCACCGCAGCTGCTGGAAGCAGCAAAAGAGCCTGGAGGGCAGTGGCACCAATGCAGTGTGCTCAGGAACGTCACTGAACACATGAAGCTAATGTGGCTCCATAAACCACCAGCAACGCAACTTTCGGTGAGACACTCAAGACTGACAAAGACTCAACCTTTCATCTTCACAATAGAAAACAACTGTCCTGTTTATATTATAGAACGTTTATGAGGAACACATAAAAGTATTATTTTTAATCACGAATTTTCAATGCTTTTCTCACTCTCTTCCTTTATCTGTTTCTGTCCTTAAAAATACCATAAATATTTACTCCTACTCTCCCAGTTCTTCCAGCTCAACCACCTTCACACACATTCCTTCCCTCTTATCCATCCCCCTGCACACAGGCAAATGCAAATCCTAGTTTAGACGTTTGTTTCTGTCCTAGTTCCCACTTCCCTCCCCTACTCCCATCACTTTACTCCAGACAGGAGAAGACAACAATTGCATCTCTTACTCCTCAGTGTATACTGGAGGTTGGTACACAGTTCACCTAGTAAAGCTCTAATTACTCCTGGCTCCTAATAGCCTTGTAATTTCTGCAGAAGGAAGTATCCTTTGCATCCTCCACATTAGAATGCCAAGGTCCTTCTTTGTAACAGATTCTCTCACCTTCTTTCCTAGACTTACAGCTCTTTACAACTAAAGATTTGTAAGGGAAGTTAAATGATTTTGTTTTCTTTTCCAGAAAACTACCCTAATCGCCTATAATTGACAATAGTTTTTAAATGTGAGTTTAGCCTAGTCTTAAAAATGTATGACCACCTCATTGGAATGTATAATATACCACAAAATTCACCCTTTTGAAAATATAGGATTCCATATTTTTTGGTATACTCAAACAAGGTTGTGCAAACATCACCACCATCTAGTTTTAGATGCCCATCAACAATCACTCTCCATTCTTCTTCACCCCTCATCTCCTGGGAATCATTATTATTCCCTTTTTATTGTGGTAAAAAAATACATAAAAATTTCCATTTTAACTATTTTTAAATATAAAATTCAGTGGCAATTAAGCACATTCACTTTGAACAATCATTACCACCTTCCTCTGAAACACTTTCATCATCCCAAATAGATATTCTATACCCATGAAATAAAAGCCCATTCCCTCAGGGTCTCCCTAGCCCCTGATTTACCACTAACCTACTTCCTGTCTGTATGAATATCTCTTCTAGCTATGCCTCCTGTCAATGAAACCATATAGTAAAAGATTTTTTAAAAGATGACATGGCTCCAATGATGGCTGACAGTTGTGCTTCTTCTATAAGGATATAAAGGACAAGGAAGGTTGACTTTCAATGCCAACCCCTTAGGACACTTTGAAGTGAAAAAACACTTTGTATGTAATTACCAGTATAGTCATCAAAGTTGACTCTTCCTCTCATGGTGTTTACAACTGACTCTGGCTGTTCAAAAATTTCCTTCTGCATAAATGAACTGAAGTTGCCTAAAATAAGTTAGAGAATTAAAACAAAAGTTAACAAGCCAAAAAATAAGAATCTTTATACAGCTAAGTCTATCCTTTTTAACATAATCTTAGAAAATGCAACCATATATTATTCAATAGAGAACTATACACACACACACACATATGTTACTTTACCTTCAATAAAGAAAAATACAAGAGGGATAAATATTTCTATTAACTGCATACCTAAAATAGGCAGTTATAATAAAACAGAGAAGTAGGACATGTTTAAGTTTGGAGTCAGACTTGGGTTCAGCTCATGGTACTATCCTTTACTAGCTAAGTGTCTCTGGAGAAACTAATTGAACAGTTACTTCACAGCATTGTACTATGGATTAATTTAGTTAAGATATGACATAAAGCAATAAATATTCACTATTATTCATCCTACCCTTAAGAAAGGAGAAAAATGAAAAAATCATAATCAAAATAGTTAAAAGCAGTATACAAGTCTCATTAGAATGTCAGGCATTGTTCTAAAGATTTTTGCACTGCTAGTTCTCTTAATTCTCAAAACAATCTCAGTGAATCAGGTTCTATGACCCCCAATTTATATATGAGAAAACTAAAGCAAAGAAGTAAGAATAGAGAACAGAATACAAATCATGCTGACAAAGTATATTTTAATAATCAGTACTTAACACTCATTTTTTAAGTTTTTTCACCTTTTGCTGCGAAACCACAAACCATGAGTTAAAGGAAAACTACTGCAAGACAAGCAGCTCATTTTGCCAAAGAATCATCTCTTTTCCTAGGCTACCCTCCACTAATCATGGAAGATTTCACTTAGCATTGTGTTGTTAGATTTCTACATTATGGCAGAAAATAGAATGCCTCCTTTCTGTTAGAAACAACATGCTAAAACATGACAAAAGCTTTCACCCTTCATGATCTGCTGGAGTTCCATCTGGAGAGTTTGCACAGCTCGTCCAGGATGATCTCCTGCAGTTCGTTTAATTCGATGGATAGACAGACGGCCGTCCACCACTGCTGCGACATCATCATCTTCGAGAAAGATAACTCGATTGGTGTGTTCTATGACAGCACTATAAAGAGATCAGCAAGATACTGCAATCAATAACAAATGATCATTACAAATAAAATCATCATTTGAATACAAGCACCAAATTTAAATACGAATTCTACAATTGCCATCTCCTAGAGGGGAGTAGAGAAGGGAATAGTTACTGTGGACAATGAATAAAAACGATTTTCATGTAGTAACCTAAACTGAATTAGATCTGAAAGCCTGGCTAATTCCTCCACATTCTATCACTAAGTCCTCCAATTTTAACTCCTAAATATTTCACAAAACCTCTCTCTATGGCCACCAGCATAAAACTACTCAAACTGGCCCTCCCTGGTGGCCAACGGGTTAAAGCACTGCACTAAGAAGTTGAAACCACTTCCGCATGAGTTCAGTCTCCGCCTGCCCCGGAGGTGACCACATGGCATGGCAGAACTCTCCTGACCCGCCCGCTGCTCCCCTCAGCAGTGTACTTCATCGATCTGCCTGTTCTTCTCCCTACTCTGTCTCTGGTGAAGTCTTTCACCATCCCTGAGTCTCTGGCCTGTACCCCAGTTCTGTATGCACAAATAAATAAATCTTTAAAAAAAAAAAAAAAAAAACCTACTCAAACTACCATCAGGCTCTAGGCTGGAATACTGTGTCAAAATCTGTCTGATCCAACCACATTCCCTCTAGTTGCTCTCCATCCACTCTTTGTTTCTGCCAAAATGGAAGGCAAATGGCTTTCTAATCAAGATTTCTCCAACACCCAACATACCAACTGACAGCGTCCTTGTGCCTCTTAGGACAACAAAACAACTTCCATCATCCCTCCACTCCTTTTCTAGCCCACCAACTTCTTCCCTCTCTACTCTAGTCACATATATATCCAAGATTTCAAAGACTGATCTATCTCTAGAAAATGAGTTCCAATTTCCACCCCTTCACATAACTTCTAATATCTCTTTAACGCTTTAAGTTCATTCTCCTAAATGAAATTTTCTTTTTTTGTTACAGATTTATTTATTTATGCATACAAGAACTGGGGTAAAGACCAGAGGTACAAGAGTGAGAGGATTCACCAAAGACAGAGTGGGGAGCCGAACAGGCAGACTGAGGGAAATACACTGCTGAGGGAAGCAGTGGGCAGGTCAGGGGAGATCTGCCACACCATGTGGGTCAGCTCCCTGGCCAGGGATCAAATTCATGCTGCAGTGGCTGTGAATAGTTTCACAGTGCTGTGCCTTAACCCCATATGCCACCAGGGAGGGCACTTAAATGAAATTTTCTATTGGAGGTTATATCTCCCTGTAATAGACATTCTGTAGCTCCTGTCAGAGCTGGAATTTTACACTTGTGATTATTGATTAAAATTTGTTTTCTCCATTAAGGAAGAACTCCTTGACAGCAAGTAACTTTTTTTCCCCCACCATTATCTCCTGAGCTGAGCACATGGTTTTGTTCAGAGTATTCACGTGAATGATACAAGGCTTATTGCTTCTGCAATTTCCATTTTAAGCCACCACCATCAATTCTGTAAAAAACTTGTTTAATGATAGCAAAGGAACATCTTCGCATACCTCATATGCCTGCAAAAATAGAAAACAGTAAAACCTGTTTCCTAATAAGATAATATGATGCCTTAAGTACTACTGAGTTGCTGCAAAAGTTGTGACATATTTTTTGGTTGAAAAACAGAAAATACTTGTCATGACTTTTCTGACAACCCAATAAATTGCATCATTTCCTTATTTTATGCTTATTATTACTAATATTTCATTTAAAAAGGCAAGGGTCCACATTAGACTAAAGACCTATATGCTTTAGTTGAGACATGTTCTTAGAACCCCATCTCAAAAGCCTACCTGCATTTCCTATATTAACAAAGTTCTCTTACATATGGTAGGTCGATACAAAATGAATTCTTGGTTTCCTGCAGCATGGAAGTTTTATTAAAAATTCTTTGAATCAACTAAGGAAGCTCACCTTGCATCAGAAGCAAAGTAATATTCCACAGCTTTTTCTTCAACAGGGAAAAGGCAAGTTGTACTGTCCACCCGAGAGAGATTACAGCTTCCTTTCTTGTCTTTCCCTAAAACAGTTTACCCAAATCAGCAAACATGTAGGAAACCATGCCCAACATCAACATATACATGATTTCTATAAAACCAACAAAAAACCATAGCAACACAAAATAATTTCAGCAATTTTAAAATGCCACCTTATGTCCATGCAATAAGCCAATGAAAACATAGACCAAAAAGTGTAGAGTGAAATAGCAACTATCAAAGAGAGCGTGGCAGGTAATAGTGCTACATTATAAATTTTTTAAATACAGTTATTTCTTTCCCAGGTAATATGCAAATAATTAACTCATTAATATCACTTTTTAAAAATCAAAAGTATATGTAGACTAATCTTAACTTTATGCAAAACTTGATGGCATTCAAATAGCTTGTAAGCCTAGACCAATCATAACAATTGTATTAAAATATACAACTACGCAATGAAAAATAAAACAAAGATTAGTAACATATTAATTTTTATTATCTCATAATAAAACTCCTCTAGATTTTAGTTGTAAGTCAGCATTAACAAAATCAATGTGTATCCTACAGTAATTTCTAATTTAAAACAAAGATACAACTCTCTAACCATGGTTATCTAAATGACACAGCTGCCAAGACTGAAATTACATAAACCCATAATCTCTTCTTTCTTAAAATTGGGTTTTCTTATATTTCTTTTAGTCAAGAGAAAGTATGGACCTTTTGCAATGACAACTGCCTTTTAATTCTAACACAATGAACTTCTGGCTATCTCTAATTCATTACATTATTGATAAAAAATATTTTTTTCTTTTTTTTGTTCATTCTCAAATAAGATAAAAACTGGAAAGCATACTATAAGTTTTACAAATTAGACAAATATAATAACCAATATTAATTGAAGAATATATAAATGTCCAAGACACAAAAGAAAGCACCTTCCTCAAGGATCAAAATGTAGATCTTCTAACCAATGGACACAAAGGTTAGAGTATACAATAAAAAATCAAAAGAATACTTAGAAAAAAAATACTTAGAAATACTCATGGTGCACCTATCCTATAAAATGTATATCTATAAGGGCTAGTCTGACATCTTAGAAAAGGTAACACTACAGGCAGAGAAAATAGAGCCGTGTTTGACAGGGCTGGAAATAAGACAGGGTTCACTGCAAAGGTTGCAGCTGGAGAGTACTTTTGGGGGGATGTAATTATTCTATATCTTGATTGCAGTGGTGGCTATACAATTGCTTGCATTTGGCAAAACTCATAGAATTATACACCAAAGGGAATGACTATCACACTGCAAAAAGAAATGACTTTAAAAAATTAGGACAGTCCAGCCCCTAGATATTCTAAATAAATACATCCAGCTTTGGTAAGATAATGTCTCAATGTGGTTGAGTACAATTATGCTTATCTCCAATTATGCTTATCTGAAGTAACAAGATGTTTTCAATTACAATGTTTAAAGGAGTCTGAGGTATCAATGCCTATTTAATTAAAAAAGAACATTTATGCTTGACAGCTATATGACCATTACAATCTACAAAACATCTCCTCACACTTTATCTCATCTAAATAGAATATAATTATCATTCCACTTAATCTGGCCTCCAATGGTTACATTTGGAGAAAATGGCAAAAGCATAGTTCAGCAATCTCACCTTTACACAGCCACTTCAACAAGAGGCTATTCTTTTGAAACTAAACTTTGCTGAGCCATAATTACTACCTACTAGAAGCTAAAGAAATAAGGGTTATTTAAACACAATTAGCCTGATTTCAAAAACAATTGTCTCACAATAACTTTGTCTAACAACTTCCTAAGACCTCAGCCAATATTTTTCCATTGTTTTCTTTTTTTTCCATTGTTTTCAAAAGCAACCTAATATTATGCACAAACAACTTTTTTTATATATGATATGTGTGTATGATATATTATATATATGTGATAAAATGAATTAATAGAAGTCTAGAATTCTGAATCCAAATTCACTAATTTTTCTTTAGAAAAGAAAACACAAGGGGAAGAAGATTAAAAAGGAATCTAATATGTCAGAATTGAAGGCTATTTATAAAAAGGACTTTCTACACTATATAAAACTGTGAAAGCAGCTTCAATATACACATGAATATACTGAACACTTTGTTAATTTTTTTCAATAAACCAGAATTTTACATTAACATGAGTTTCAATTTCCGAAAGGTTTTAGTAGTAAATGAAATAATAACTGTTTTTATCAAATTATATTAATGAGATGACCCAGAGCTTATATACTTGAAAACCCTATTAAAAATTTTAAATAAGTAAAAAGAACAATAATCCGAAATTCAGATAAAGTCAACCAAGATAGCAACTGTACATGTAAAAGTATATAATAATCATTTAACAAATTTTAGTTAAAAGTCAGACTACATTATTCAAATAACTACCACTGATCTCATCTTTAACAGCCTGGCACACACAATGCTCTTTTCTTAATTAAAGCATCTTATCTATAATAATGTACCCCACATATTTTTAATTTAAAAAGAAAAAGCTTTACAATTTCAACTATTTTATCATCAAAGCTTTTAAAGTAACAAATTATTAAAAGCAGTATTCTAAATGCCAAAGCAGACAGACAAAAAATACTCTGCAAATTAGAAAAAGAATATCAAAATGTTTCCCATTAAAAAAAAAGAAAAGCACATGTTTAGAGGCCCAGCACATTCATTCACTCCAAGAACAAAGAATTAGTAAAGAATGAACAAAAGAGAAGATTCTCCCCATCCATGCAAAGTGCATTTCCCACCTCTTTCTCCCTGTGATCCCCACCGTGTGAATTTTGATCCAATTTGAGTCCTAGCTAAGGATATACAACAACAAAAAAAATTCTACTCGTCAGAGAAGGCACAAAAACAAATCCTTTTCACGTCTAGGCTACACGTATGAATGGAGTTGACCAAAGGAGTACTTATTGCAGTTTAAGGAAAATAACTTTTTGTAACCACTATACTCAACTTATACATTTTCCCTATGGTGTGATGTAGAAACAGTTTTTACCTGTTCTGTAGAGTATTGGAATGTGATCAGTAGAGAGTTTATGTTCACTTCGCACACCAATCAACAGAGGGCTACCTCGTCTATCAGTACAAAATTAGAAAGAATTAAGCCACTTGTATAAATAATACACCAAAGGTATAAAATTTAAATTTGATGAGGGAACATTCTTCAAATAATGCTTAAATTCTCCAATATGGCTTCAGGTTTAACAAAAGAATGACACAAACAGAAACTTAAAAATATTCAAGAAACAGATCAGCCAACTATGACCCAAAATCCAAATTCGTTATTCTTGCAACGAGAATTTTACTGGAAACAGTCATGTATACTTTTTAACACATTTTCTATGACTGCTTTCACATTTCAGCAGCAAAACTGAAGAGCTGTTAAAGGCTATTTACTCAGAAAGCCTAAAATACTTACTATCTGACCCTTTACAGAAAAAGTTTAAAAGCTCTTCTCTATAGCAATGTATTTGAAATTTTTCTTTTTTAATATTAAATAGAAATTTTTTTTAAACACAGACCTCCAATATAAGACTGTTTAGCAACTCTTCCTTAGCCAACCTGTTTTCATATTAAAGATAGTTCTCACTTAACAATCTTAGGGCTCCTCATTGTTCTAAAAATGAGTTCATTTTTTAAAAAAAGGATTTTGTGGTTAGACTTAAGTATTCTAGCAAAAGTAGTGATGGTTCAATTATCTAGAACTATGCCTAAAATATATACTTCCAAAAATAAGGAGGAAGTTAAATTTGGGGCTTAAAATTATCAAATACACAAAGCAAACATGGAGCCCCACTATAAGCAAAATGCCAATTATAAATGCCAGAGTATATCTACTAAGAAATTCTATTAAATAAGAATTGTAAAGGAGCATATTAGGATAAAAACATATGCAATATCTCTAAAAAAGGGCAGAGCCATTATAGAGAAGAGCCTTTTACAGTACATGGAAAATAAACTTATAATTCAAAGGTTTCAAAATATATTTAATTTTTAGTTATAATCAATTTATACATACCTTGTGCCAACAGCTTGGCCAGGAAAATGAACACTTTTAAATACAAGTGCAAAAGCACCTTCCTAAGAAGAGGAAAAAAATGTATTAGCAATATTTATTGTAATAAATTATCAAGTTTGAAATGCCTAAAACATATTTGCTTCTGCATAAAATTTTTTAATTCATACAACTATTATTTGCATCAGTTTATAAAGGAATCTAAATTTTAGGTAAATACTTACTCCTGAGTTTTGGCATATTCAAGATCCTTTTTTTAAACAAACCCATTCTTGAAATATACTCACTAGCTAATAGTACTAAAACAAGTCATTTTTAAAAACCTTTGTACATGTTACAATCATTTCTAAATAAAGATATCTTATCTCCTATACAATGCATTCACAGGGGAAGAAGAAAATTAGAAAAGATCCCCAATTCAATATGCAAAACCATTCTCTAACTCAGTAACTTTATACTATTGTTAACTTCTGTTTTGGATCTTCCTGGTGGCCCAGGGGTTAAATCTCAGAGTTATCAAGCTATCATCAGTCACTGTAACATGAGTTCAATTCCCCAGCAGTGTATGTCAGTACATCTGCCTATTCTATTCCCCACTCTGTCCCTACTGAATCCTCTCACATCCTGTACCTCTGGCCTACACCCCAGTTCTTGTATGCATACATAAATAAGTATTTTTAAAAACTTCTCTTTTACCTTGGTATTGAAGATAGTAAATGTACACAATCACAACACTAACATAAATCATACCATTCCATCAACCCAACCTCTTCAGGAACAGGGCCTATGTAAGTTAAGAATAAAGGAAAGCCATGAGGTAGGGAAAGGAACCACCACAGTACATTTTACTCTATTGTACAATGTGTAGAATGTGCAATGTATAGAAGTAAGGAAAGGCTGGAAAGGTACACTGTTCTGCCTTGAGCACTTTGCTTTTCAGTAAAGGGAAGGAACAGGTCTCTATCTTCTCCATCTTCCTGATTCCTATTGCAGACATCATAAGATTTAGGTGGAGACAAGTGGAAAGGTTTAGACCTTGGCAGAGAAAGATGTAAAGGGCTTTTAAATAGGAAACCTGGAGTTCCAGCAGGGAAGAGGGGTGGAAATCACAATGCATTTGGACTTTTGTGGCTATTTAATGTCTATGATCTCTAATTAGAGCAATTAGGTAAGAAAGAAAATCACTTTCACTTGGGCTGAGAAATACTGTTTTATAGAGATACCGGGACAAAGTCAAGTCCCATTAAGAAAAAATAAGGAGATGATTTATACTGGTTCCAAGACACACAAACATTATCCCAAAAGAGAGTATACATTTCACTGAAGCTACTTTGTACTGCTACTGAGACAAACACCTGAATGAGCAGAAAGAAAGAGAGAATCCCTGATTATGTGTATATCTGTTTACATGGATGTGTATAGTTTGTTGCTATGTATGCCTAGTTTTTAGACAAACTGTTTGATTCTGGATTATTTTTAATTCTTGTGACCCTGAACAGTAAAAGAAGTAGAATATATTTTTAAGTGTGTGTGGGAAAGGAGTCAACAGTAGTCTCTCAAAGTTATTCAAGTTGAATGGAACATATAGAGGAAACAAAATTCAAAAAATTCCATTCAAAAGTTGAATGGAACATATAGAGGAAACAAAATTCAAAAAATTCCATTCAAAAGTTGAATGGAACATATAGATAGAGGAAACAAAATTCAAAAAATTCAAAATTCAAAATTCAAAAAAAACAAATTCAAATTCAAAATTCAAAATTCCTGCTTATGAAAACAATTTTAACAGTTTACTATAATTGATACTGACAATAATTATCTTTATAGGTACAATTTGGTACCTACCAGTTGTTGGATAACTCTCTCCACTAAAGTAGTAAAACTGGTGTCTTGACTTTCCCGATTGTCATACATATACTTAACCAGCTTGGCAATTGTTTCTGTGTCTGTTTCAGATTCAAAGTCATAGCCCTTGCTTTCCTGTAATTAGAAAGGCGGGTGAATAACATTTAATAAATATTCATGATCTCCAAATCTTTTCTACAGAATTTTTCTTCTCAAAAGTTTTATTAACCATATTTAATTCTATATTTTTTGACCAATAGCTCAAAATTAAGGTCACCATTTTTAACAGTGAACCCAAAATAGTGATGTTGCCAGTATTATTGAACATTCACTTACATAAATCTCTATATGTCATATATAAATTTAATTTTAAATAACTAATGTTTTGTAATAATATTCAAAAAATGCTAATTCTGTAATAATAATGATTCTTAGATGATGATGCTGCACTGTTACCAGGTATATGTGGCTATTTAAACTGATCAAAATCAGATAAATTTCAAATTTAGTTAGTCATATAGCTCAACAGACACATGTAGTCAGTGGATCAGTGGCTATTGAATTAGACAGGACAGATAAAGGTTTCCATCATTGCAGCAATTTCAACTGGATAGCCCTCAGAATGGATTCATGAAGTTCATCATCATGACTATTTCTATATCATGTATAGCTGTGTAGGACACAGAAACTTCACTTAATCTGTCCTAGTTCTTCTTACATATCCTAAATCCTTTTAAAATGTCGCTTACAGAGATGCAAATTAAAACCACATGAGATACCACCTCACCCCAGTGAGAATGGCACATCTTCAAACAACTAGCAACAACAAATGTTGGTGAGGATGTGGAGGAGGTGG